ACTATTCGAATAGCTATTAGCCAATTCAGTACAAAACTCTTACTCAATGGGCACTAGTATGCCTTGATTGTAACAGTATTTTAATTTATCAAGTAAATTACTTTTTTTATATTATTTTTTGTGCAATAAACGCACATTAGTTCCGGGAACTACATTCGACAGTGGAACATCTCCAGAGGGAGAGAAACAATCTCTCCTCACAGTTGGCCAGCCTTCAAGAAGAGCTGCGTGATCGCGAGAGTCAGTTAAAGAATCTCAAAGCAGAATGCGTGGGTTTTTGCACCTTTCATTTAGAATTTTGTTTTATATATCGTTAAAATTAGGCGACCTCAAAGGAACTTATTTGCATATTCCGCGGAACGTTTCCAATTTTGGACAAACCTAAACCGCGGAAAATCAAATCTATTCAATGAAACAAAGTGGGAAAAATAGAGCAAATTAGATAGAACACTTCCACGTGCCAACTTTGAACAAGTTCACGTCTAGTTCACGATATTTTAGGACTGTCAGGTACCTGTAGATAGATGCCCAGACTATAGATAATCTAAACACGGTTTATTTGCGACTGACTGACCTCAGACTAGCCTTTTGGTTTTTAAATATTCTTAAGAAAAACGATTTGAACCGAATTGCAATTGAACCATTTGACCTCTAAGTGGGCAGGAGATTTGTAAGCAGATCTTGTAAACGCTTATTAATGTTTACTTGACAATTACATAAAAAGTACGACTATGGAAATTGAATAAACCGTCAAAATAATGCTGGGATATCAAACAAATATAATAATCATAGCTCGTTCAATAATAATGAGATTTTTCAGATCGTTCTACTTGATGGTACGATTTGTGCATTCGTACCATAAAATCCCTGTCAGCATCATTTTTTGAGCGAAACCATTCCACTGGGTAGTTGTCTGATTCTCAAACAGAAGTGTTTTAGGGACAGATCTCTTTATAATTGCAGCTGCAGATACGAAGTCAGTGGAAGAGTAAGGTACAACAAATCACAGTTACTATCACACATCATCTCTGTTTCCCGACCAATGGGCTTCAAGTGATAATGCATTAATGATGTTTCGAAACACATGGACTAGTGTTGATGTTTATAAAAGTTGTGACAGCTACTGTTTGTGTGCACAAACAGCAATGCTTTGATTAATTAAGCCTTGCCTTTGCCAAATTTGGTAGATTTTTCCCTTCGTAAACTAGGAGATGGAAATAGAAAGTCAGACTCATAAATCCCAACACCTTGAATTATATATTTATTTAAAAGTAGTGAAAACAGCAGCCACGTTACTACCAAAATTTGTGTTTTGGATAAATTATCCCAAATATTTGCCTGCGCTTGACATCTCAGAGTTGCTCTCTACTCTTCATTCAAGTTTTAAAAAATAGATGGGAAATTTTGGATCCTTTTCCCCTAAAATGCATTTTCAATGGAATACATACTCCAGACGTTGGTTGCCTAGGTTCCATTTACCCCTGTCGTGAATGGCGAACGTATGCAATTCCAGGCCATTTAGAGATACTCATACTTTCGTCCGCTCGAATTCGCTCACTCAATCGCTCACATGCGAAGACAAATGGAAGCTCTGGGCGCAAATGCGAGGAGTGAAAGTACACGCGGCCACCAAAAGCATCAGCGACAGTGGGGGAAACAAACCTGGGGCTGAGACGCAAAGGCAGCGGATATTTGTATGCACTGAGAGTGCTGTGTAGGCAGTGTCCTACCCCCGGCTATGCTTTCTTCTCAATTTCAGTTCCAAGGCTACATCCCTGAGTTGGAAAGACTCTGTCGCACCAATCAGGAGGCAAATTTGCGGATCGCTGCTCTCGTCAAATTGGTTCAAGGTGATGAGGAGCACTTGACCGAGCAGGACAAGTCAGCGGTTAGTGTGATCCTTTAATTAATTGTGTGGTGCCAAATTTTAATCCAGAAGAGATAAAATACGGTAAAGTTAACAGTTCACGTTTATGTTTAGGATGTGGGAATAATTTTGAAATATCATTAAATTTATTGGATAGTCAACTATCAAAAGTTTTTTTAAGTGATTTGGGAAAAAAGCACGTCGCTGAATGTATTTGCACAAGTCACTGGCGTTTCACTTAGAGATGGATTTCGTTCAACAAGTTATGAAAAAATACTTGAGTAGCCAGCTGGTAGTTATATTTATCGGCTGAAAAGCTTTGGAACTATAGACGAATAGCGATATGATGTTCACTTTCAACCCTCAAAAAGCAAAATGTTTTTCTAATTGCTTAGGTTACCTAGAAAGTAGGATTGTGTATTAGGTTAATCTAAATGTACCGCTATAAGGGCCATTCTCCGCGTAGGATGACCGAATTGACATGCAAAAATCACAACATTGACTTAGTCAGATTTTCTAAAACACTATTCAAATGCGGTTCTTCTACGATTTCAAAATAAAAATGCACATTCATTTAGTAGATAATTTTACTAATTTAAACATATAAACCCCATCATATCTAACTGAGAAATGACGATATAGTTGTATTTCAATTATGACTAGGCCTTTTTAATTAACAATCAAATTCCTAAATGGTAAATCAAAAAAACCTACTGAGTACTAGCAGTTGCCGGGCTAAAATCCCGCCATCGTGCTTCCTTCGTCAAGAGTTTGAGGTCACTTGCACATCGTTTAGTTTATGTAAATTTAAAGGTCAAATAATTTTCGGTAGTGCAGTTGATTCTTGTAGTAATTTCCTTTTAGATATAATTAAATAGGATGAAAGGAAAGATCTTGTTTACTTACGGCAAAGAAGCGAATTTTGTTCAAAAGCCTTTACGGATGATGGGCTTGAGCGTGTCGGTTCATCCTCGCAACCGTTAGTTTGTGTAACCTTCTAATTTCAAAGGGTGTTTTAATTTTAACTTTAACTACGATTTCTCCATTTGATGCTGCAAGGCGACCACAAACATTTTTTTCGTATCTCCCAAATATTTTTACTTTCAACCATTATTAAACGCACAACAAATTAGCTCTTGAAGTTTTTCAGTTCTTAGTCAAAGTTATGTCTTCTAAGCTGTAGAATTACCTAATTATTGCAAATATTCTTCTCGTAAATTTATACCTATTTTAAGTTAGCAAAATGATGAATTTAGTGGTAAATGGGCACTAATTCCACCATAGTTGGTGTCCAAACCTCACCATCGCTAGTAGGTAGATAAATTCCAAATGCTCAATTTCGGATCTTATGTTAGGATCTTTATATTATTAAACATGCAGCTACAAAATCAAAACGTCATAACTTTTCAAAGGGGGAGATGGAACTATATGAATGTGTTGTATGAGTTACAGAAAGAAGGATTCCCATTCCACTTTCTAAACTACTGCTAAAACCATGCAACTATTAAGTAAAAGTACGACTTTAATGAGATGTGAATGGCCTTTAGCAACATATAAGTTTAGAAACACATTATGTTCCACTCAACCAAGTCACTGTGCAGACCAAGAACACCACCCTGGCTTCATTACTTGGAACTTTCAAGTGTCGTCTGCAAAGTAGCGTTTTTTTTCTCGTTTCAGTTGGCCACATTTCCACTCTACCCGAGTCTTGCGCATAAAACGGCGGTATCTACAGGACCACTGGCAAAGACGCAGACACGTCTAGGTCATCCATCAGTCCCGGGGGCGGGCCAGACCGGTTTCCTAGCCCCCGGCGGTAGTATCTCTCCACACCTCAGCGGTAGCGCTTTCCATCTGATCGGATCCTCCTCTGCCACAGCTGCTGCTACTGCTGCAACACTGACAGCGGGAGGCATCAACTTACCTATGCAGAGCGCCGACTCTATTCTACTGGGCAGGCTGTTGCATGAGAAAGAGACAATGGTATGGTGCCCTTCGTTACTCTATAAAGCCACAGTTTTACGCTAGACTTGATTTTTGTCACAGTAATCTTATGTATCTACTTAAATCTGCATGCAAGCCGGAAAGGTTTGAACTACGTAATATTGGCGGCAGACCGCATTTTAAATCAAAATGAAATCGTGGTTTAAAATATTTTTTGATACCTTTTAAGAAAAATGGCTAGCCAAGTACATAAGTATTTAGAAGTATTTCCCGATTACTCTGTAAAAACTATATTCTTGATAGCGAACCCGAATTTTGGAATTTTTATCTATGCCTTGCAGAGACGATGGTGCCGAATTACAAGCTTGATGAAGTTGTGTTTAATTTTCTTAACATGGCGGCTTTTCCTGTGAAAAATAAGAATTTAATGAAAATCGTGTTAGATACGAAATTTCGGTGAATTGCATTGTGAGCATTAACTATGGGACGAAACTTAAGTATGGTGAACCTTTAGCTTTACTTTGTTTTTAAATTTAATGAGCCTTGCTATTTTAACATGACATGAACACAGTCTTAGTCATTTCGAAGTTTTAATTAAAAACCAACTTTTCAACTTTTTGGCAGGAAGAATGGGTTTAAATTTCATTTCCATACCCGATGTTTATGATTATACAAAATCTTCTACTCAAACTTCCTGGAATATCAAAAATAATTTGCCTGATATGCAGGGAGGGAGCTGATGGGCTTTCCCAGAGGGATGAAAGGCAAATACAGAATATGAACACATTTAATAGAAATGATCTTGTCAAATATTTTGAGTTTTTTTCATGAGATTGACTCGGATAAAGTCCTTTTACATCAAATGTACTTAGCATCCTACTCGTTAACGACAAAAAAAACAAACTATGACATCTGCTTTTCCCTTACTCAATGATTTTGAAAAAGACAGCTTATCGGATTGCCCTGTTTTTATAACTAGATATTAAGAGTACAAAGATGCTGTCCAGACGCCTTTAAAATGAGCAAAAATCTGGATTTACTGTTCATATCTTCGGCGAATACGAAGTATCTTAATCCTGGTTCTTACCCATCCTAAGGAACTTTATTTTGACCTCCATAAAATTCCTTCATATAGCTACAACAACAACTGCAAGACTTGACACGTCTTCGCTTCCAAAATTCAGAGATGGAAGTGAGAATAAAGTCACTCCAACGGGAACTTGATAACAAGACTTCACGACTGAATGCGCTTGAGGTTGCTCAGGTACGACCACATTTGAATGTCGCATCTCCTATTTAGTATTTCCCAGAAGTGCTAAGTTTATGCTCAGAATAATTTGACGCATGTCTTTTCAATAACAATAAGTAATGTAGTTAATTCCATCATCAAAATTAGGGAAAACGCGACCATTAGAACCACTTGCTTTGCTTTAAGAATCAAAAAGTTCCTTTGAATTCTTATTCATGTTTCAACTTGTAAGTCAAAATTCGCTAATGAATGCGAGACGGCAGTCTTCTATGAGATACTGTCAAGTCTTCCCTTTAACAGTGTGGTTGAAACTAGGTAATTCGTGCTTTTAACGGAATATATGCAGGAGTAGGCAAACAGGACGTGGTAACGAATTTAGAAGTTTATGTATTGTGATTATGTCTTTGGTTTTCTTTGCTTAGTGCCGAAACAGTGTTATATTGAGAAGGGTTTCCATTTTGCATAGACTGGACGGATCAATTTGTCGGTAAAGTACTTATGCTAAAGGTTATATCCAGAAGAAATTGGATTTTTTTCCTCAAGTAGATTCATATTTCGCGATCCCCACAGATTCACCGTCAAGTTAAGCCATTCTAAAGTCTACTTTATCTTTGCATCAATTTGTGGGAAGTTGTCTAGATTCAGTAGTGTGTCTTTTTATCTGGCGAGTTAATTTTGCATCTCGCATAAACACTGTCTAGTTTAGCCATTTACGAGAAACCCATCAAAAGAATTGCTTGGAAACCCAGTATTTCAACATTTTCAATTGAAGTTTTATTCCAAAAAACAGCCTATGCTCCCCTGTTCTATTTTTAACTCAAAGCGTTCGCATAACTTCATTTATCAAGCCACCTTTCTGTGATTTTGAAGCTACAATGAGAACAATCCGCATCTGCAAAAGCACGACATCTGATGAAAATTGATGTTAGTATTCCACAAGCTTAGAGTGAAAAGCAATCTCACTTTTCTGGTTACGGACCTTAGCGCTGTAACCCTTGAATCAAACATACTTTGTCACTTACGGCCTAGAATTTGAGCCGATAATTAGAAACATCCTTTCACTGGTAAATGTTCAGGGATAAATAAACTATTTCTCTTATTTAGTTATTGATCCTCTTGTGCAAAAAGGCATTATCGCATATTATCTGAACATCTTTGTTTTGGCGGAATCGCTGTGAATCTTTCCACTCAATATCCCACAAAAGTTTAGGTTAACGAAAATTATTCTTTCTTTTCTCCAAAATAATCCAAACTAACTTTTGCTGTTTTGTTTCCCCTATTTTTAAATTCAACCAATCAGAATCATTGAATCCGACACCTGAAGTATTTAAAAAATGCAGTTACCAAAGCGTAATTTAGCTTTCAATGCTATTTTCTTTCGGAATCAATGTTCGTAGTGGAATATATTTCAAGAATAGTTCCTATTTTAAGGGTAATCGAAAGGCGGAAAATTCAAATGGAGACATTTTGCAAACTGTTTTTATGCGCCATCTTTCTGAATCACCCAAACTTAAATCACACTATAGGAGTTCTTAAAAAATGATAAAAAAACACATCAATGGTGCTATTTTCACAATCACAGTGAACACTTTTTAGCAGAACTATTTTACAAATAGTTGAGAAGCTGTTTGAATAGAAGCTAAATGATGCTCTTGGTTCATCTTCTTTCTAATTGAAATATTTTTACAAAAGAGCATTTTATGTTTTTTTCTGCAGCGTAAATGAAGAGTTAGCGACTTAAAACATTTCGGCGCTCATGAAACAATTGGATCTGTAATACACAAATCAAAAAATCCATTTTTGGTCTTGGGGGAAAGAAGGGAAAGTACTCCTTGGTTGTCGTGTTAGATTTTTACGAAAGAGATGCTTTTACTTACCAGTTGACAGCGGGGGTGAGTGGACTGGTGGACTGGCAGTCGCAGATCGCAGGAATGCCCATAACCCAGGCCGAGCTGGCAACCCTTCGGCAGGCGAACACAGAAATGCACGAGAAATTGTTGCAATTGCAGACCAGCTTGCAGGAGCGTGAAAATGAACTCATCCGAGTGCAACGCACGCAGGTGAGCTTTCACTCCTCCTTTACTTCCAACATCGAATGGAGTTGTTTGAATTTATAGTGGCAGGATTATTTCAAAGGCGTCATCCCTCATGTGCGTTCCTGTTTATTTCATCGAATATTTTCAACTTAACCTAGTGTATTTTTAGAAAACAAATTTAGGTATTACGTTCAATTTGGTGTTGTTTTAGTGTCTAAAGAATTTGTTGGCAGTAAGCATTTTTTTGATCTGTCTTCTACTTATACATTAAAAATGGGCAAGAGATGACTTGAGACATCTTTGGAGACGTTCCGGTGTAAACGAAATGCAGATTCAAACTTTCCACATGTAATAGTATTCCAAAAAATCCAATTATACAGCTTAAGGCAATACAATTTGGCTGAAAAGCAAATGGGCTTCTATGATAGCGCAAAAATGTGGCAAACGACAAAACTCATCAAATCTACATCAGCTAGATATAATTACTTTAAGACAAATGGGGCTTTTAGTGTGTTAGAATTTACTACAAGAATACACTAAAAACCAATTTGTTTGCTAATATAATTTTAAACTGTCAGCTTTTACTCTGTTTGCTCTATTTTAGCACCCATAAATCTCTGCCAGAATCTAGGTATAAATATCCGTCTAAACGGTTTGTTTCACTGTTAGTGAAATTGTACAAAAAAGCAAGTTGACCTGATTAACTGTCACCTCAATGTAGTAAATCAGATTAATCAGAAATCAGAGAACCTCGGTTGTAAATCAAATCATTTTTTGTTAAAGTAGCGCAATAATAAGAAGTAAAGAAAAGCTGTTGCGATCTCTTGAAGCATAAATGGCCTAAAACAATTTTTCACGCAAATCCAGCAACAATAATTGCACACACTAGGCTTTGCGGACAGGCGAATTAAAGACCCGACGCGCTGTCCTATATCCTCTCAGAAGACGATGCAATTTAGTTTTGGTAATTTTGATACAACAATGCTTTTAGTACTTGATGCTAACACATTTGATTATGGGGAATGGAATAGGAAGGCTTTTTTCTGATAGAACGGTACTTAAATTGGGTTTTAGTCCTCCTCCAGTACCCTAGAAATTGAACGGCTGAAATTGGAACTGACAAAATTGAAAGATGAACGTGAATCAATTGTAAGTTTACTAGTTTTTATGCCTAAAACAATTGTAAAGAACTTCTTATGACTTATCATTTTCTTCTTAAATGTGATAATTTATGGTATGCTAAACGACAACGTAGTCTTCACTTTTGGCAAGCACCATACTTGCTAAAAAAGATAGCTGAAACCGAATTTTCCTGATTCAGCTGTCAAATAGTATGTTCCTCCAGAAAAGCAAATCCCCTCAGCACCAATAATTTTTTTCCGATCCTAACCAAACGCATACTTCTTGATGTTCGTAGACATCCAACTGCGTAGAATCGAAAACTCGGTTTCATTTGAGACCATCAGCTTTACTTTGCGATACTCGTACTTTTTGATGCCATTTTAGGAGAGAACGCTGCGTTTGGAGAACACACGTGCGTCAGATGAATTAGCGCGGGTGAACACAACTGCCTCGGCTGTGGAGACAGAGCTGCAGGAAAAGAGGGACAAGATAAGGCTGCTCGAATTCGAAAAGGCACATATCGTCTTTTTATCTACCATAATTTACTAGCTGAACAGTAATGCAAAGATGCTGATTTTCATCCAAAAACATATTTAATTGGTTTACTAATAGAAATAGTCAAAATTGCGGAATCCATTGTTAAATTCTGTTGTAAAATTCTGGAAGTTATTTCATACCTTTATAAAATTTGTTGCAACATTATAATGTTATGCCTTGATTAAACTAACATAATCATTTTATTAGATAGAAATTAAAGCTAAAATGCCAGATTCAAAAACAGCAATCTGTAAAAGTAGATGGAAAGGTGCGAATATGATATTACGTGTAAGCATGTGGAACACGATAATGGAGTCTTCATAACTCAAGTTTTCTTTATAAAAGACCCAAATATAGCATATTGTTGCAAATAATACGAGTTAATTCAGATAAATGAGACGATTTTATCCTCATTTGGTAATTCGTAGTGTTTTGATAAATAAAATTTGGGTTTCCGCCTTCAGTTGTTGTACTCAGAAATTCAAGTCACTAAGTCTTGAATAGTATGAATTTAAAGGTTTTTCAAAAGCGCGAGAGCTATTATTTATCATTTTTGTAGACTAAATTGAATTCGGATTTGGAGAGCCTACAGAAGAAGTATCACACGGTTATTGGACAACTTACGGAGAAATCGGACAGGCTGCAGCAAATGGGACGAGACTGTGTAAGTCCTTTCACTTTCCGCTTTGAGATACTTAATTTTTAACTGACAAACTTTCGAAAATGGTCACAGCAATTTCAGTCATAGCTGTCACCCATAGCAGTGCAAGTAACGTCTACGTATTTCAATTTATCGGCTTTACTTTTTCTGGCACTTGTGTTTCGAATTAAATTTGATTTAATGAATGGTTCGAAATTTGTTTTCAGAAAAATGATGTTGATCGTTTGATTGGAATTTTTGAGCATTACTTTGATAATTTAGTGTCCATTTCTTGCCACCTTCCTTCACGTTTACGTGACTAGTCGCCCGGTAAATTCGAGCAACCAATAATAAAATATTAATGAGTATTAAATGTCAACATTCATATTCAAACCATAATAATCTTTTAATGTGCAGTTTTTTGAACAGGATTTTGGTTTAATTCGAAGATGCACAACTCCTTGAAATGTTTGAAATTTCTTAACTTTAATCCTGAAAGCTAAATTAAAGCGTAAAGTCTACGCCTTATGAGATAACAAACTTTCGTACTCTTTGAAAAGATTGTTTGTTGACTTTAGGACAAAAATCACATTACCGAAATACAAAGACTCACTAAGGATTCAGACGAGTTGAATCATCGCGTTACCTACCTCCACAAAGCGCTACAGGAACGTGAAGGAAAACTGGAGCAACAAGAGACGGAACTGGTAAATTGAGGCTAGAGTGTTCAAGTGACGCGATGTGGATTGTGTTAAAAACGGCAATTTTTTAATTTCAATGACGGTTTGTATTAATTGGGATTATTTATTGTACTGTGTTAAATTTGAGGCAGTATAATGCTTAAGATATCACACAAAACAACTTATGAGTACAAGATGTACAAAGCAAAATCCAGTCGTGCACGGTGATGGATAATTCATTTGTAAATAAAAAAAATTATGTTTCCCTCCACAGACATTAAATTGCACCTCTGCCTAAGCTGCTTCAATAAATAATTATTCCAATGCTAGCATGACATTAAGGAGTTAGTGCGGTTGGACTGGCTTAAACTTGTGCATGCATACAAAAGTGTGCGAAAAAAAAAATATCAGCAAGTGCTTTGATTACTTTGTTACTATTTAGGCAAGACAAAAGGTGGAGAGTGCCAATGCTAAAAAGAAGACGCATAGCCTTGAAAGCGAATTGAAATCGCTGCGTGAGGAGATTACGTATAAAGATGAGAGACTGCGCCAATTGCAAGTTCAACACGTGAGTTCCACATGCGTGCATGCTTTAAGTAGAACTCCTGTCAATAACATGAAATACCCAATTTTGGTGACAAATTAAATGGAGAGGGCGGAATATTCAGATTTGTCCAACTTTAAGGATGGTTATAACGGGTAAATTAAAGTCCATATCATGATTTCGAACGAATACTACGGAGAAATTTAGTTACAGAGTAGAGGCCTTTTTTCTCACCATGAATTGAGTCGTCTTCTTTTTTCATTTTTCACTAAGTGATTACGCAAGACCTTGATTTATCTACTAAATGTCTTTCGAGTTGAAGGTTTTACGGTTATCTTGGCTCCATAAGGCAGATTTAAATCACACATTAAAGACATCATCAGAATTTTTAAGGACATGGGCTATACGACTTAAGAAACCTCCATAAATATTGTGCCATAATAAAATAAATGCCTCACACGGGTACAATACATTGGCTAGTGCATGAATGCCCCCAATAAAGTTGTGATCAGTTTTGCACTTCTCTATTTGTGGTAATTGTACCAAGTCTCTGACACGGTTTTGGTCATTTCAATTTTAGGCAGAGGAACTTTCGAGAATGCGTTCTGTGCAGCAAGAGCAAGGAAGTCGGTTGAATCATCTGCAATTGACGATCGACGAGAAGGACCATGAGTTTAAGACAGTTCAGGGAGACCTGGTCAGCTATCATCACTTGTATCACTAAATCCTAATTTCAACTCCACAGTGGCGTAAATGATAAACTAATCAAACTAATAAAATTTACCTTATTTTGTATCAAAAGGCTTCATTCTATGCTTTTATAGTCTACAAGACAGCGCCTTCTTTGTCCCTTTGAAGGATAAAACGAAATCCGATTTGGAGTATACGAAGAATCGACTCCAAGAGGTTGAGACAGAGAGGACTCAGATTAACAATGAGTTGGCTGAAAAGGTAGATAAACTCCGAACTCTGGAACTTGAATGTGTAAGTATTTCCATTCATTGTAAAATTTTTACTTAGAAATTTTAAGTACAATGTTCATAATCCCAATAGCAGTGAAAAGGGGTCTATTTCTTTATAAATATATAGAGAACTGTGCAATTAGGCAGAACCATTAGCTTTGGAGTAAAGCTTAGGCTCTCATCTGACATAATAGAAATATTGGAAAGTAGTGCTACTAGGTCTTGTTTTAATTTTTGACCTGGTGGACAGTTTTGATATGTTCCAATTTTGTAATTTATTTTTAATCAGGAAAGTCGGGCCGATGAGATGGCTCGACTTCAAAGCAGTCTAGAGGAGAGTAAATCAAAGGCGAGTATTTTGCAGAAGCGCGCTGATGAACAGGAGCAGAGGTTAAGAAAGATAGAGAATGAAAACGTGAGTCGTCTGTTTTTATCCTCAATGAACTTATTCAGCTACTAAAATCGTGTTCTTAATTCTCTTTTTTGGCTTTTTACACATTCAATAGCAGTAGTCAAATGAATTAAACGCTTATTTATAGATATGAAACTTACTTTTCGCATAGTTAAGTTATCTGAATTTCAAAAGCACTCGCAAAGTTTGTGTAATATGTAAATGTTTTTCCTTGATGGATATTCTACTGATTGTGGTATAAAAAGTGGGAAATGTGTTCATCTTTGTAATTTTAACTCAAAATGATATGCTGTACACAGTACATTACCCAACTATTATTAGGGTTTCAGAATCTTTATTAAGTCACTAATGACATCAAATGGGTTAAGAATCAGTAAACTTTCGTGGATCTGTACTGATTACCCAGTGTCACGATCACTAGTCTCCTGAGATCTGGACGCGGCAACAATAATTCTGATATGTTAATCGTTTTATAAACGGAAGCTAGGGAAGATGCGAGTCTCCTGCACCAAGTTGCGCACTGGTGTGTTCATTCAAACAAACGGAAAATGAAACGCGAATTGTAAACAACCAGAACAATTAACCTGTAAGCGTAACAAATTGTATTGAATGCCTAATTATTCCATGGTGGTGGTTATTACTGGTCTCAGATTTATTCGTAGATTGCATTTTATTCCTATTATCTTCGAACCTGGACCACTTTTTACTCCTCATAGTTCTGGCTTTAAAGAGAAATAAGCAGTTCTTGACAAATCCACTGAATAAATAAATCTGATAGATAGACGCTTTAAATATGGAAATCTATGAGATGGTAGTAATTGTACTACCAAAGCTATCAAATTTGTTTATGGTCCCTAAAAACTAGCACAACCTTCTGGATGAAATCCACGGTCTACGAAAACGCAACCACGAATTGGGAAGCCACATTGCCGTTCTTCGGCAGCGACTATTAGATCGGGGCGAACAGGCCATGCCTTTTGCTTCTAGCTCACCTTCCGCAGAAATATTCTCCCAGGTACATTAGTGTCTTAAGTTACGGCACTTTAAAAGCAACTAGCCTAATACTTTATGAGGTTTCTCCATATGAACAGAAACGAAATATAAACCGAAATTAATATGCATTACTTTATACGCCCTGTCACATAGATGGATACAAAATATGCAAGAAAGCGTCAGATAACGCGCCTTAAATCCAAAGTTTTAGTTCAAAATCCAATTATTCACTTCTAAAGCAACCTTCTTTATGTGTCTAGCTTAAGCGTTTCTAACAAATTTACCTTTAAAAGCCTTGTCATAAGTCGTCCTACGATTTCCCTAGAGCATTGCTGAGAAACCGTCAACAAAACTTACAGCAGAAGCGGGAAGCCTACGAAAACGAAATGCAGAATTGGAGAATGAACTGCATAGTTTAAGAAAGCGGACTCAGGATCTGCAAATCCAAGTAACTTAAAATGCAACAATTTTCTTTTTATATTTATTCTTAAGATACCTTGTTTGTTTCATTTTTTGACTTCCTAATTTTCACTTCCTCTTCAATTAATGGCTAAAAATCAGCTTTTTAATTCATTTATCTATTTTCCTTTCTTGGTGCCCAAGGTCTCGCATTAAAAATATTTATCATGCTTTTTGTTAAACCTAGGTAGATCAACTAAGCTATGAACGAGAAAGCCTCAACAAATCCTACGAGGAGGAAATGAAGAAGCGCGTTCAGCTCGAGAGCTCAATTACTAAACAATCTGAAACCGTTGGCTATATACTTATTCATCTACTAGAAAATAATAACTTCTTTATTCCTGTAGGTGGAATTCCCACAAACTCCGTCGGCGGAGGTAGAAGAATTGCACTTAGCTGTGAAACATTTGAAAGGTGAACTTGGAAGAAAGAACTCACAGGTCCGTAATCAAAATATGTTTGTGAACCCGTTTAATTGAGTCATCTTTTTAACGACATTTCAACTATGGCATAGGCTTAATTTCTAGAACTAGCTTGTTAGCACTGATACTGAATGGTGCATCTTTTGACAATGCTGAAACCTAAGTAGATTGAGTCGTTGATTGAAATATTTTCCAGCAGAAGATGAAGTTTGCTTTTCGATTGCCAGATTGAGCAGTTGACGCAGCAACTAGACCAAGCAGTCAAACTGTCACAGCTCGCCAGTGTTTCTGGTGCAGACAGGGATGCTTTCGTGACCGAACTCAAACTGAACCTTCAGCGCACTCAGCAGGCCCTGGATGCTGCCAACGATCAAAATCGAGTCCTACAAGCTCGGAATGAGTCGGCTCTTTTTGAATCTCAGAAGCAACACCTCATTCAAAGGGTGGTTACTTCTATATATTTATTGCTTTTCGCGCACAGCTAATAAAAGTGGCTTCTTAGCCCTGTTGTGACTTCCTAATTCCTCAAAACTTATTTTAAATAAGCTGGATAAATTATTAACATTCGATTTACTTTTCTCTCGAGTCAACTTTGGTATTTGTACTTCATAAGGTCAGGGTAAAATCTGAAGCTATACCACCTAAATTAGCCGAAACAAATCAGCTTCAAAAGGGTCACTATGTAGTCTCTTATTTTGCCTGCAACGGAAATGAATTTACGTAAATTATTAGAAAAGTTGTCGAAGGTGAAATGGCCCTTGGACTAAGACTTACGAGGATTGTTAAATTGACTTTTGAAGCAAACACTTCAGGAGCAAATGTCTGCTCTGAACCAGAGCCTGAATGAGATGAATATACAGAATGAGGGCTTACAGAGGGAGGTTCAACAGTCCTCAGGCCGAATTCAGGAGCTAACTCGGCAACTTCGTGAAACACAGACAAATTGTGACTCAATCGCAATTCAGCGAGACAACCTTCAAAATAGGCTGGAACAGGTGAGGATCCGCATAACTTTCGGCATTTTATTATTGTAATTTCCAAAACGGGACTCATTTTGGGATTACAGTAGTATCTAGGTTTCGTACCTATAGTTATTCATCAGTCGAAAATAGATCTAACAGGACTGGACTATCATTGGAAATAACTGGGCAAAAAGACATTTCGCGCAAAATTTGTGGACATTCAACTGTTTACATGGGTAACAGATGCACGAAAGAAGCTTTTAAAGATTGATATTCCCTAATGTGTAAAAGTTGTGCTGATTTTTTCATAAATGTACCCTTTTTAAAAGCGGTCAACTGTAATAGAATAATTGAAATTTATCTTAGCCGTTATGCTGTGAACAGATTCCAAAAACTGTTTTTCCCACCTGTTCATTTTATTACAGCCCCGACTTCCTTTCTCAGTCTTGTATAAAAATATAAAATAAATTTTACGTGACCGGTATTCAGCACACTCCAGAAGAATGTACCAAGACATTTATAACCATAGGTGCATTGTAATACTATCGCGTTAAGGAGATAGGTGGATAAAGTGGAATCTCAATCCTTAATATATGTTTTTTACGGAAACGTATAGCAACCGATTTTCCCATCTCTAAGAGCCTAACTTTTCCTCGTTTTAGTCTGACACCTTGACTGGTTCAAGGCTTCCCTCACAGCTGGTGAAAGGACTATAAAGTGATGAATCTAAATGATTTCAAATGAATATTTACTTAAAATAGCCAAAACTGCAAACTACCGTCCCTTGATTTGCGTTCACGCACTACATTCAGTCACTCATAGTCTTCATTTCATGAAGTCAACCATTTGTCTTATCTAATAATTACGTGGTGGAATGTAGTCAGATCTAATAGAAATGAAAATTCGGATCGCTGCAATAATTAAGACTCATTCAAGCTCTACGCTCTTTACTAAATTACTTAGTAATTCTGTATCATATATAAATGTATATAAACGTTCGTATGACGCGAAAAATGTTTTCACCCTAACAAATTTTTGAATTTTTGGTTGCAGTAGAACAAAGCGCTACGGTTAACTTTAATCTTTGAAACTAGATAAATGACCGCCTCAGGGATGAATTACAATAATGGAGACCGTCCGAGTCACTTAATGACCCAAGCGCCGCTTTCTGTGAAGAAGGATTCCTTCATGACATTTTGGGGGCTCATTAAGAGAACTCACTGTTGTTCTATAATTACACAATACTTTTCCTCACAATTCCCCGGTACATGAATTGTTTCTTTGATCTTTAACTGTCTAATAAAATCGGCAACTAAGACACCTAAGTTTAATAAGTAAATTTAGTACTGACTGAAGCTTTTACCAAATAAACCTGTTTATGATGTCTCTCAATTCTCTCTTTTTTACAATGACGATTAATCGTCTGAAAGTGTTTTGAAGGGACCAAGTAGCGAAACGGACCACCATAAAGGGTCTTCTGCTCATATTACTGTCATATATTGAACGGTTTTGGATTAAAATACAAAAATGAATTTCGGTTGATATCATATTTATTTTGGGGGCAAATGTTACCCCTACACTCTTTACTTTTAGTACCTGATTATTATCAACTTGATAAGGGCTTCATTGCCCCAAATCCTAATGCTGCATTAAAATGATGAAATTGATAAATGTGCCGCGCAGTACAGCATCAGAAAACCTGGTTCGATTATTTTTAATGTTGTTTATTGTGAAAACATTCTCCATGTTTTATGGAAATAGCACTTCTCTTGCAGCTACAGCAATCGGGTGGAGGAATGCGGTCCTACAACATCAGCGGTGGTAGTTATTTAGGCCGACCGGCCTCAGTGGCTGCCGGCTACTCCGATCTGATGCTTCTTACAACTGGCGGCACCAGCAGTGGCAGTATAACGACGGGAGTGCAGCTCTCCCGTGAACTCGCCCGTTTACATAGGGAACAGGAGGTGATGCGGGATCAATTGGACACTGCAGAGCGCTCCACACGCCAATTCAAACAGGAGGCAGAGGCGGCGAAATGCGAAGCCACTCGGCTACGGGAGGACTTACGCCAACAGCAGGAAACTGTGAAGGAAATGAAGGAGAATCTACGCAACAGTAAGGATGAAGCGGTAAGTTTGTGTCTTGCTGCCCTCGTGCGCTTTAGAATTTATTTCACATCAAGATAAAAAACCGCTTCAAAGTGGCTTTTCAGGTACAGTTGAGAGAACATAGTAAGTGCATGAAGAGTGAATGTCAAACTTTTGTTATCCATCTCAAATCGATTCTCGCTAATAAAAGTGTAATTTACGTCAACATGAAAAAGAGAGTGAAATTGAATCGTGTCTCATATTTCCCACAAAGTCTCCTTACTTTCTCTTGGCCGATCTGAAGTGCCTTCATTGAAGCAGACTTCTTATTTAATTATGAGGCCTCACCCAGCCTGAAGACAAGCATTTAATTTATAAAATTACGTTTCCCACCTAGACTAAAGAGATAACAGCAGAAACCGAAAGGTACAAGCAGCAGCATGAAGAACTGGAAAAACAACTCAGGAACCTTCAAGAACAATTGTCAGCCAAAGGTGTTTTAGTAAGCGTCAATCCCACTTTTCGAAAAAGTTTCATTCTGCAAATTGATTACATTTTAACGTTCTCTTGAATAATTTAAGGAGTGTCGATTCATTAAATCAATAACAAAGTAAAGCAGTTGTTCTTATAAATACAAATCTATTTTTCATTTTCTTGTAGTTTTGCTTGAGCGTGAACTTTTGGAACAAATTTTACGCTGATCAAACTAAGTGGTGGCCCTGATTACCCTTATCAGTATGGTCAAGCAAATGAGTTCCTTCGATGGAATTACTTCAATTTCCTTTGTTTTTCTTCTCTCTCGTGCAGGTTGAGCAACTGACAAATCAACTTAAGACATCTCAGGATAAGTGCAAGCAATTTGAACAAAAGCTTCTGCAGATGAACCAACAAATTGAGTCTCTAAATGCTCAAGTACGTCACATTTCATGGATATATTAGTATCTGGTGAACGCTGCCTGTTTACTACAATTACCAGTCCAACACTTTGAGTTTGAAACTTGTTTCAACTGAACCTCTCAGCGTTTAGCTGCCAAAAATACTTTTTAAATTGCAGCAAGATCAAGTTGCATTCGAAAGAAATCAGCAACAACGTTTGAGTTACGAATTGGAGACCATAAAGAAGGAACTCAGTATTCGCGAAAATCAGGTTAGCCTCTCTCTTTCCTTATTGTTCCTATTCCTTCATATTCCACAAATCACCATCGTTAATTTGAGTCACCGTGTTGGCTGGATCTCATTGCTTGATAATCTTAAATTCATTTATTGAGTTGGGTCCTATTCGATCTATAATTTTTGATGAACCCCATACAAGTTAATAAAGTCAACGTATCATAATTGCAGTTCATTCAACTTACACAAAAGTTTGACCAATCACTGAAGGACGCCAGCGACCAATCACAAGTGATCAAAGAGCTCTCACGTCAGCTGGAGGCGGCGAAGACGACGCAGCGGGCAGCAGTGGAGGTGGAAAATGCGCACCACCAGGCCGCAGCGTGGGCCACCGAGCAGTCGGCCAACGCGGAGCAGAGTCAGCAAGACCATGAAACCATGGCCGCCCTGAAGGCCGACCTCCAGAACGTCATGAAGGCCAAGGATACAGCTGAAAAGAGGATACAGAAGCTAGAAAACGATTTGCAAAACCAAACCAAAGCCCTTGACGTAGCTGTTGAGCAGGCACACATTACTGCGGAAGTTTGTGTGAGTGGTAGCTTTACTGATTCACCATGGATCTGGGATATAAGTTAAATAAAAACTTGTTAATTCGTAGTATTTGGTTTCGGTGGATAGTTGAATGATACACAAATCGTTACAGGGTGGTAAAAACACACCTATGACCGGTGATTTCAAGGGACTTACTATTAAAAAACGGCACGCATTTAGCTCTACATATTTCTAAACTCGGAAGGCTTTCTTCAGCAACTCTTAGTATTAACACATCACTCCGATGGTTTAATTTATTAAAGAACACCATTAATTTAATGGTATTCTATAGTTTCGCTTTATATTAGACTTCCAAAAGGACTCATCGAAACTGCGGACATAAAGCATGTGTGCTTTAAGCGGTTATGTAGGCCTGATTGAACACATTACTTAAGGGTTATTTTCCTATCTTTAAATCAGCAGTTAAGGCGACTCTAAGAATGGCAAATAAATGACAGAAACTATTGAATGGCGAAAGGTTTCTTTGGAATTTAAGGAAGTCAATTTGTCTTTTAAGCAAAATATGGAATATGGACTTACTTAATCGAATTAGCGCTAGAAATCTTGGATGTCATTTCATTTACATTTGCTGCTCATCTATATCGAGGGGAAGCACTTAATGAAATAGAATAGTCTTACAGGATTTGAATTTTATCCCGTTACGTATCATTTTACTACAATTTTTCACTATTCAATCCAATT